TTATTTGCAGTTCTTTGTCTTTCTTCTTTTACACTACATGTTTCGGCCGTAACTGGCCATCATCAGGTGTATTTTCACTTACGTAGCTGTCACACTGCATGTAATTTAAAATTTAAAAACACCAGATCTCTCAATTGTCACTGATGCGTTTTAATCGGTCCCGATACACCAGAATCTCCTTGCTGATTTTGTCAGTTATGTTTAAAATCTCTGTTAATATACACTCGTCGATATGATTTAGAATTTTAATTTAAAATTTTTAATTTAAATCACAGGGATACCTGCTGTATGTCTACGCGTGCTGCAGGGGCTATTTCTTACTTTCAGCACCGTTCACGTATTGGACTTCTTTATAAACTAGGGCTGGACAAACATTAGCCTGCTAAATATTCCGTCCAGGCCAATGACATATACATACAAACGTCACCAACAATACGACACCTCACATATTGATAATTCCTTGTTACTTTAAACACACACCATGAACAAGCTATATTTAAAGTCAATAATTGGCCTACACAAAGTTTCTATGTTGATATACTTTATAATAATTGAGCATAGGAAATTAGAGTGAGCGCCGCTTCAGAGTCCTGTTAATGAACCCATTAACACTTCGACAACACCAACTAACCTTTGGGATATTGTGTTGGAACTATTAATAAAAAAATTCTTGTGTATTTTACAATATCTACGAGCAGGTCTTGTCAGAAAACTTGCGAAAATTGACTCACGAGGCGCTCAGGTCAAAAGTCGGTTAAACATAAACCCACCAAACCCATGTTCGAGATGGATAGACATGATGTTAGTAAGCGTTTTATAATCCGGCATGGTATACATAAATATAAAACTTGAAAATAATGAAGTTAATGGACACAATATTTTATCAATGTGGAATCCTATAGTGACATTATGAAACCTGAACAGTGGAAGAGTTGAAAAAGAAGTGGCGACCATTGCTAGGCAACGGCGCGGTAAATACTTTTCCGCGACAAAGAATCGAGAAGCAGCAATAGGGGAACTGTTGGAAGCTGTGTTTTCTGCGAGGTCCGTAGCCAGACTCTATAGCGAGGACCGACGTTAGTTCTGCGCGAGCATCGCGACGGTGCTGCCCAGCAACAGCAGCAGTCTCATCCGCCCTCAGTTGCATAGGCCTACTGCGTCACAGTGGGAGAAATGACTGTCGCCCCTCTCTTGAGGCAAAACCAAGTACCAATTCTGTCAGTTCAGGCTCCTAATGCTATCAGTTCGTCTCCGAACGACACTTTTAAAGTAGTCGCAACGATATTTCAGCAGATCATGACAGACCTCGATGGGGCCGAGTCAGAAAAAGAGAGGCCATCACAAAAACTGTATTAAAACTCATGAAGCAAAATGGCCGCTTGAGTTCCTATACGGTAAATATGACTTCGCTGGCAAGTGCCAATAGCAGTTGTAAGGGACAGACCCGTCCTCTCGTTAGAGAGTGCGTCCTATATCTACAAACCCCCATCTCTCTGACAGTAATACATATAACAATCCCGTCTTAGGCCCCAGACGGATGCTTGTCACCAAGACAGACTGGCCGACTGACCATCGGTCGTAACATAACTTTGACATTGACTCCCTGAGTGAAGAGTCGTATTTGGTGGTTAACCGAGAGAACAGAATCTGACAATTGGTACAGGAAATTGGGTCCTAACCTATAATAAAGGCCGCGCCATAGCTCAAGCGGTTAGTCGCTGGTTTCCAACCGCGGTGGCCCGGGTTCGAGCCCGGGTCTGTGGGATTTGTGGTGGACAAAGTGCCGCTGGGGCAGGTTTCTCCGAGTACTTCGGTTTCCCCTGCCAATCTTCATTCCACCAATTGCTCCACAATCACCCTCACCTATCATTTGGGGCTGGTACAATAGGCCAGAAGTGGCCGCAGTACAAGGGACTTAGTCCCACCCCACTAGCAAAAAAAAAACCTTAAAATAATTAAACATTTTAGCATGAGGATTGAACGACTTGGAAATTTTGAATGACAATTTGATTGCTGGCTTATATTTTATAAATTAGTAGAGTATAAAGGCTTGTAAGAATGAGTGCGCCAAAGGAAATATTTGAGATTGCGAAGTCTAAAAGAATGTGAGAGGTCTGCGAGAAACGCAAAGCTTTATGCTTAAGAAATAAGAAAATAACCCAATCACTGGAAAGTCTAAGAGAAATGTGCCCACAAAGTAAATTCTTATGTTAACATTTCCCAGTCAAAGATCGACAAGCAGAATACAAGAGAAGCCCCCACGTGAATTTCAGGGATATCAAAACTGTCACACAAAACATTAGGAGGCAGGCATTCAGGTTCATCTGGACATGTGACACAGACGGGACATGTCAGAGCAATTGTCTGTGTCCCAATCAGAAACGGGCTCGAAAGATACACAGACAATGATGCAATTCTGAGGGATGACATGGCAGAGTGTGTTCACCGACATGATAGCGAGTTGTCGTGTAAGGATATAGAAGACATTGCTACCTACACAGAACTGTCTTTAGAACTGTCTGCCATCTTGCTAGTGGACAATGCAAGCGAACCCATCGTGTTCCCTAGAAGCAGGAGCTTAGTGTGTCACATTGTTGATCCGAGGAACTTGGACGAACTGTGGAATGCTGAGTGATCAAGTATTCGTCGCCCACAAAAGCATGGAGCTATAGTAAGCCTGCTACCAGGTAACGCAGCTGTAAACATGCATCCACAACAGTGGGAGAAGGTGTTTTCCGTGGGGCCCGTGGAAAGGAGTTATCTTAAAGAAGAACGGCGCTAGGAGTTCAGTTCTGAGTTGTCGGTGGAAGATAGCCAAGGAAAGTTCGTAGAAAAAGAAGAATAAGAAGTCGACCTGTGAAGACTTGGTGTATGATTAAAAGGCTTCATTCATGTGTAATGTTTGAAGTGTGTGATTCAGTGATACTGTTATAGTCCCTGCGATTTAGGTGTGGCACAAGGAGAGGACTAGCGTGTGTATAAATCAGCGATAGCACTGCATTTAAGTGTGATTAAGAGAGATTTAACCGAAGTGCTAATAAATCCACTCATCTGAACTAGAACCCGTCACCTTTATTTGATTGAAGGAAAACTGAAACATGTCAGCCTGTAACCCCGTACAGATTTGAATACATATTCAAAAGAAGAAAATGTATTTAAATGATCTTTGCATATGAAGGGTATAGGCCGATGTATAAACGGTTGTATTTTCTAACAATAATTTTTTTACAGAAAATTAGGGCCAAGTCTCTGCGTACCGTGATGTGAAGTCGCAAAGGAAACATTTTAAAACTGTATATACTCAGAACTGACTTCAGTGCTCCTTTCTTGCTCTGGGTCATGTATTCACTTTCAACATGTAGTGCTTTTATACCACAGTGCCACGTCACGAATGATCACCTCCAGAAACTTTCAAAGATTACAAACTTCTAGGACGTGACGTAGTGCAGTTTGATAAACACGTTCAGTACTACACAAATTCACATCCTGGAAATCTGTGATCTTGGTGCTCGCCGCTGTGAGAATCTAAAATTCACTAATTTTGTCTGCTATTTTTAGTCAAAATGCCCCTAAATCGTAAACTCGGAGTTTTCCAAAATAAATCGTCAAGGTCAGAGGAGCTTGTTGCTTCGGTATCAGACTAATCGAATAATAAATAGTAGCACTGGAAAGTAAAACGACTTTTTTGAGTTCCTGGAAAGAACAATAGAATGAGCGAGAAATTTTATAAAATTTAAGTGCGAAATTTTGAATAAAAATATAAGACTGCGTGACTATTTCCTCTCTTTCACGGCAGATGTTCATCCGACTTCCATATGAATAACCTAAACAGCGGCTGGCTAAGAATTTGGAGACACTATATAAAATTATTTATAATCATTACTTGCAAATGCATTAAGCTCAATATACGTAGTATCCATACATCTGAATGCTAATGAAGTGGATTATCTTCCTGGGTTAACCATGTAGATATAAATCGCATTTCCTACGTTTCGAAAAACCATACTCTCTTCATCTTGAATGGTCACTTAGTCATTTCAAACCGACACTAGTTGAAGTTTGACAGAAGATTATTTCGCAGTAGAGAATGAGACAGTTCTCTACACAAATTCGGAAGACATACGAACTATTGCTGACGTCCTTAACCATCAAGGAGAGACAACCTCACATTATGTTATATGAGAGTATGGATGCTGAGGATAATATCTGGACCCAAAGGAGATAAAATAATAGGGAGTTGAAAAAAATACATAATGAGGAGTTTCATAACTTGTACTCTTCGCCAAAAATAATTAGAATGATCAAGTCGGGACTGTTTAGAAGACTAGTGCAAGTGGGTCTCATATGGAGAAGAGGAATGCATGTAGGGTTTTGATGGGAAAGCAAAAACGAAAGCGATCAATCAGAATTCCTAGCCGCAGGTGGAAAGATAACATTATAATGAATCTCAGAGAAATTGGATGGGGCGTTATAGGCTGGATTAATCTGGCTCAGGATAAGAACCAGAGGTAGTCTCTTTTAAGGGCCTCGCCATAGCTCAGGCGGTTAGTCGCTGGCTTCCCACCGCGGCGGCCCGGGTTCGATTCCGGGTCTGGTCAAGTGGGATTTGTGGTGGACAAAGTGGCGCTGGGGCGGGTTTTCTCCGAGTACTTCTGTTTCCCCTGCTAATCTTCATTCCACCAAATTCTCCATCGTCATAATCACCGGGGGCAGGCTACAATAGACCAATCAGTGGCAGCCGTGCTGAGTGGACCCAGTTGTACTCCAGGTAAGCAAATGTGGCTTCTCTAGAAGAACTAAAATCCATGAAGTTACTTAGTTAGTGCGAAGGGGTCTGAATATTTAAATTCCATAAAATAGATTGTACTGAAAGTTTGCATTGCGAACAACATGAATACCAACGGGGGCAACATGTTGGTCGCGTGCCATGTATCTAAATATCTTTGTGTTTGTACCTGAGAATCCCACTCTGATGAACCGTGCACCCCTGTCTCATATAGGCTTGTACCCTCCCCTTCCCGTAGCGACCCCATGCATCAAGGCGATCAGCCCGAGCGAGGGATGGACATCGGGGGGCTCGACGGTCATCATCATTGGCGACAACTTCTTCGACGGCCTCCAAGTTGTCTTCGGCACAATGTTGGTCTGGAGCGAGGTAACTATAAATTGTACATCAGATTCCACACAGAGCTCCAGAAACTTAATGTACACAGAAAAGTGGCACATATCCGCAAGCTCACAGCCCTCCAGATTCTGATTTAAGCATTTCAAACCCAGTGCTTACTATTCGAGTATGTACCACCTACTTTAATATGCTGAAATTCTGCATTCTGACACACAGTCCATTCGTGTGTTTTTTTAATTTCAAAATAAAAACCGATTAATCGGTTAGTCTTTATAGTGGAGACGTCATGTGTTTCCTTTGAGGTACGAACTGAACATTTAAATATTATTCAGAGGAAATACACTCTTTAGAGAGGAACATCCTCAGCAAACACCTGGATGGTAAGGCGCTGTTTAACGAAGCCTGTATGGTTTAATATAGGCGCAGAATTCCTGTAGAAACAATTATGCTGACGAGGACCAGCAGGAATTTTCTACTCTGCTCACTCTTTAAAGATTGCAATGAGATTAGTTTTCCACAAAACAAAGAACACAAACGTATTTAGAAATTGCATGTTGGCTGATACTGCAAAATTTAGAGCCATTTTGTCTGGAGGTGAATTTTAAAAATTGTAACTAATTACAAGGAGCAACGTCCCCATCTGCAGACTTCCGAAACACAAGATTACTGACTTCTGGGATGTGACTTAGTACAGTCTCATATATATTTAAGCAACGTTTCGGTAAAGCTTACTGTCTCCATCTTCAGGACAAGTAAACACTTACCATACTAAACGGCGTAACATCCCTGAAGACATTAATCTTCACAGTCACCACCCTGAGAACCTCAAATATCTCTTTGAAAAATAATGTCTGACAGTGTGTACGTGATATTATGTTATTTGCTACCATGCGCGGTAAATAATGCGCTTATTCCGTGTTTGTAGCTGATCACGTCGCATGCGATACGAGTGCAGACTCCACCGAGACACATCCCCGGAGTGGTTGAGGTGACGCTGTCTTACAAATCCAAGCAGTTTTGTAAGGGGGCCCCCGGAAGATTCGTCTACGTATGTAAGTACCCCGACAAAAGCACCATTTTATTAAATAATGCGATATGTCTATGACAATAGAATCTAACTGAAAGGCGCGGACAAATTTCTAGCACGAGGTCTACATGACAAAGCAAGAAAAAAATGTCCATTTAATTTCCGAGTTATAGCTGAAACAGAACAAAAAAACAAACTCCGTGGCCTGTAGTCCGCAAGCCAACTATACCGACCGAGCGACCGCCGCTTGTCGGTGAAGTTAGTGCCCAATTTTGCGGAGAAAGGGTGTCACGTGGTCAGCGCAACGGATCCCCACGGTCGTTAATCTCGGTTTTCTAGACCGGAGCCGCTATTCCCTTGAAATATCTCCTCAATTATGCTGAAACAGTACATATTATAATGAGTGCTAAAATATCCTTCGCGAAATTCAATGTACGCCTCAACACATCTCATCATGGACCGCCGCATCCGTTCAAAGATGTTGGGTAGTTGCTGACCGACTGACAGGCATCCACATTGCGACTGCGAAATGTTCGTTGTTAACATGCGCTGCATGCACAATGATTTTTCGGTGTCCCCACAGGTTAAAATCCAGAAGATTCAAATCTGACGAACATGGAGGCCGTGCAGTTGTCCTCCTCTACCTATCCATCGGTCATGGCAGTTGTTACTGACAACATGCACATCACGGGTAAAATGTACCGGAGCACCATCGTGCATGTACCATATTCGTGCTCTGATTGCCAGTGGTATACCTCCCAGGAGCTTCGGCAGATAATGTAATGGCAAGTCTCGGTAGTTGTTGCCTATAAGCCGATGTGCCTAAACATGTGAGCCTACGAAATAACCAGCAAAACTCCCTGCCCACACATTAGTGTTGAACTGCTGATGGTGTACACCAGGCATGTCCAACTTCAAACAGGTTGTGATCGACTTTTTAGTGTCAAAACTGCCAGTGATCTACCACCCCCTCCTATCGTCGTACCTCGCTTTAAGCAAAAATATTGGTAAAAATAACACGACACATGATGTTTGTTGTAAAAGCAACATACGTTGAAAGTATAGACTTACCTTGTTCGTTAAGAACAGAAAACTAGGAATGACTAATACGTATTTTCCCTTCAAAATCTGAATATAATCATATTATATTACAAGTGAATTTACATGCTTTTCACGTATAATTTCCTTATAGGTCTATGAGATCGACCAAAAATCGTCCCGCGATCGACGCGTTGGACATGCCTGTGTACACAGTACTCTTTCAGCTATGACTCGTGGACGCATGTTGATATGGACATTTTTCTTGTCTTGGTATGTATAGCTCGTGTCCAAATTTATAAGGACACTTTAAGTGCTCCCTTTATATGTGCTGGTCTTGAGAGAGGTGCGATGGATCACTAAAATATACGAGGCTTAAACTTGGCGGTGATAAAACTTACACCGTTCAATTAACAAAGCTGCCGTTGTAGCACAAGATACGTAAGATAGGCATGATCTGCTCTGCAAAGCCTGTACTGACAGAGGACTTGTATATAGCGCAAAAGGAAGAACTTTTAATAGAACGCTATATGTACGATACGTACACCTGACAAAAGACCAAGCATATGCATAAGAGGTAAACCCATGTTTCCGTCAGAGAGGACGTTCCATAAGAACTATGAACGCAAGTGTTCAGTCGTAAAATAAAAAGAACTTTAATCGTGAGCCGCAAGGAGTCTGGCGCCAAGACGAACTAATTGGCGGTAAACCGCCAGTGTCAAAGTAACTCTGACTTTGACTTTGACTTTGACTTTGAGCTTAGTCAGTCAATAAGGAGAAGGCTAAGAGTTTGGTGTGAGATGGCCACCAGCCTGGGAGTTGGTCAGTGGGATATTCGCTAGTCGATGCAGATGTAATTAGAAGACATTGTTAAGATCCGTTACCAGGAAACGACTAGTGAAGATATAGAAGAATTTATGTATGCTGCGGTTACAGTGAGTGTGTATATAGATAGTGACCAGGTAGGTCTACACTCAGTTCCTGGAGCAATACGTAAATCAGCTAGGCCCTACACAACATATACGTAGATCACGTGTGACTGATAGAGAATGAAGGTCTTCGGAGGCAGTAGTGTGCTTTCTTTTTCTTTTTAGTTTCTTCGGGTGGGGTGAGACTGAGTCCACTTGGTACATCGGCCAATATTGGCCTATTATACCAGCCCCGGGTGATACCAGTCTGTGGAATGGGAATTTGTAGGGGAAACCAAAGTACTCGGAGAAAACTTACCTCAGCGCCAAGGTCGCGCCATAGCTCAAGCGGTTAGTCGCTGGCTTCCCACGGCTGCGGCCCGGGTTCGATCCCGGATCTGGTCAAGTGGGATTTGTGGTGGACAAAGTAGCGCTGGGGCAGGTTTTCTCCGAGTACTTCGGTTTCCCCTGCCAATCTTCATTCCACCAATTGCTCCACAACCACCCTCACCTATCATCTGGGGCTGGTACAATAGGCCAGAAGTGGCCGCAGTAAGAGGGACTTAGTCCCACCCTACTAGCAATAAAAAAAATACCTCAGTGCCACTTTGTCCACTATAAATCCCACATAACCTGACCTGGGCTCGAACCCGGACCGCCGCAGTGGGAAGTCGGCGACTAACCGCCTGAACTATGGCACGTCCTTCAGAGGGAGTTAAGTGTTAAAACTATTAAATGTATTAAGAATTTAACAGATAAGTTAACAACATGTCTGCAAGAGAATCACTAGTCCTACTTACTAATGCAGGATACAAAGAAGTACTTAAAGGTTCGGCCACACAGAGCGCTACGCTTTGTTCGCTATGTACGCTGTGTACACTCTGCGACGCAGCTAACATAGCGAACATAGCGTACGGAAGTCTGAGTGGCCAGTCACATTGGCAATAAAGGGAGATATTTTTCTGTTCGTATAGCGAACATAGCGTACGTAGCGTGCGTCGCGTACGTAGCGCTCTGTGTGGCCGAACCTTAAGACCGTTGCCTTTTCATGTTTCATTCTAGGACACTGTTACTATCGAGAATGTTAGAGCAGTTGGTGAGTTATAAATTAGAAGGGACTTTCAAGGAAGCGATCGGGATATAATTGACGTATTGTCCCAATATTTGCGAGAGACACTGAGGAAAACCACAAAATACATAGTCATGATAGCCGGTCTACTGGCCGAGATTCTGAACGAGTTCCTCCCCCTTTCCTAATACAAATCTAAAGCGTTGCCTTTATGCCAAACTGCTCCGAATAATCTTTATCTTCTGTTGAAACTGGAGTAGGTAAATTTCAACGGATTCTCTAATGAGTAGACCCATTCGACCTGTGTTCTGCCTACGATTATCGATTTCCTCGGTATGCTATGTTATGTTTCTAACGATCATTCCGTTTCAGTAGTTATTAACAGTATGCATTTTAGATGTAAACAGACTTATTTGCAGAAACCATAACTTCCCGTGTTAATAACCTGATATGGTTTATGACATCTCATAGTATCACGTCAAAGTACATGGAAATACAACCAGATATCAAGCCGGTGCCAGTAAAAAAAAATTACTGCCATTATTTTAAAAATTACTAGTTTTATCGCTATTTACATAACAATACTGCCATTGCAGTAGATGCTCTTCGGTAACAAACTATGTTAGTAGATGGTTAGCTAATTTATTATTTACTACTAAATTTGTTTTTTTCTACATACATTATTACGCGTATTAAAAAGGGGAAAATATTTTCTTATGATAAACATATTATTAGCCGGTCACGGTAGCCGAGTGGTCTAAGGCATGTACTCTCTTCGCTCGCTTGGCAACCGGGATCGTGGGTTCGAATCCCACTCAGGGCATGGATGTTTAGTTTGTGTGTGTGCGTTTTTCTGTGTTTGTGTACAGGTAGAGGCCTTACAATGAGCTGATCACCCGCCCAAGGAGTCCTACCGAATGTGTAAGATCTAGAAAAACCGAAGTGAAGTTCATGGAGGTAGGCCTAGGCCCACTGGGGCTGTAGTACCAAGGAAAAAAAAGCATTATTAATGTACATAAATCCATTACAACGATTACAATATCTATCATTATTTAATGTAGGTCTAACTATTCCATCGGTGTCCCGTATTACACAGCACCGAATGACAGGACAGCTAGGGAATGGTTTTCCAGGGATATGGAAGGAAGCGGTTGTGGTCTCCTTTAATGTTGGCGCTACAATCCCAAAAATTGCCTGAAGGGATTGAGGAAAGTATCGAAGTGACCAACAGGGGCTCGTGCCAAACAGATAATTCTCTCGACCCATGGACGTTACTGTATGTAGGCTACGTCTTTCATGACCTTCTTATGTTCCCTTCCCATCCAACGCATTTCGTCTCCAACCTCGCACACTAAGCGTCCTAGGTTCATACTCTATTCCATCTGTCCATCTCGGTTTTGGTCTTCCAACTCTTCTCTACTCATCTGGTTTTAGGAGGGTGAGTTCCTTTAATAGAATTATCATGCATCGTCCGCTCATCTCAATCATCCAACTTTTATGATTTGGACAATATCTGGTTCAGATAATACTTTATATAATCCATTCTTATATATTAAACGCCAGAATACATTCTCAAACACTGGGTCAAATCTGAGGTGTCAAGGTTTAACACATATATTTATCCCTGGTTGCATCTACCCGAGGTCTTAATCTGTGTTCGTTTTATGTATTAGCCAAAGCAAAAGTACCCGAGTTCATTCCTGTACAGCACCATAAAGAGTTACTATTCCTGATGTAGTCTATAACGAAAACCTGTTACCATTTGTAGTTCTGTGGTGTAACAGGGTGTCGAGGAGAATATTTGGACCGAAGAGAGATGATGTGACGGGAGGTTGAAGAAAATTGCATAACGAGCAGCTCCATAAACTGTACTCTTCTCCAAGTATAACTAGAATGATCAAGTCAAGGAGGATTAGATGGGCAGAGCATGTAGCACGAATGGGGGAGAAGACGAACGCATATGGGATATTGGTGGGAAAGCCAGTAGGAAAAAGACCACTGTTAAGATCAAGTCGTAGGTGGGTGAACAATATTAAAATGGATCTTAGAGAGATTGAATGGGATGATATGGATTGGATTGATGTAGCTCGGGATAGGGACCAGTGGAGGGCTGTTGTGAACACGGTAATGAACATTCGGGTTCCATAAAATGCTGGGAAATTCTTGAGTAGCTGCACAACTGGCGGCTTCTCAAGAAGGGCTCAGCTCCGTGAGTGAGTGAGTGAGTGAGTGAGTGAGTGAAATCTGTGGTGAAATTTTAATGGATTTGCACTAATATACAGCAATTGAATCAGACAAGCACAGTGGTTCTAAAATGACTTACGCCAGTATTACATTCTTATATCAGGAAATTTTAAACAAGAATAAACTGCACGGATTTTCACACAAATATTGTTAACTCATTCTTACTGAACCCAATTCGAATTCAGGTCTGGGAACACATGTAGTTCTTCGTGATTTCCTTCACTCCCACTATGAAAATTCCTGAACGTTACTTCATAAGCCACGAAAGTTTTCTCCGACGTAATACGTCACAATCGTACTCCCTCGTTTTCATTCAACGTTAAGTAACCTCAGCTCCTAGAGCGTCGTAAATAATGGAAGTACCCATCAATCAAACCCTACATAAAAGACACAATTTTTACTCATATATTTTTTAAATCTGTTCCTATCAAATTTATGTTTTGTATGTCGGGAACTAGTTGAAAGATTTTAGAGAGATAAAAACATAGGAGCTTCACAAGTGTCACAAAGCGATTTCCGCCTGTCATTCCTCCGGAACGACTGGCCGGAGAGGGATTGTGTCATGCTGATATGGCGGACAGCAATTTTCTGACCACACATCACTCAGTTCGCAGACAGATTGTCCGTGACATCGCGATTAATCCTGGGGACCGCGTGAGTCAAAGCATAAACACAGCCACGCTATAAATTGTTTACGCTTGTTACGAACAAAATAAATTTATCTTGCTTGTACAACAGAATTGCTATTTCTATATAACTGACAATAAAAACAACAGTGGAAAAATGTTGGATCTAATTGAGTATCCACACACACACTTAATGCAACACTGCATATCTCAAGTACCTTGATGTTCGTTTATTGCAGACGTATGGTCGGCGGATTTTTTATTTGTGATTTTTTCGAGTTGCATAGGTTACGTTGCATCCAATCGTAGGGCGATTATGAATTATGGATCCAAAAGGATGTGGATAGAAGCAACTTTAAAGTATTACCAGCAATGAGGATGCAGACATCCTGGTTTACGGGGGATCAAGTAGTTTCTTTCTCCATCCTCAATCCAAAAAAAAAATATTCTTATCAAATATTGCTCGGGTTAAAGACTGACTAAGAAGCACTTCGAACTCTGGGTTTCCACACTGGGCGCGAGACAGTTGGAGCTCTTCATTGAAGGACTTTCGGAAATTCTGTCTAGGGACCTGCTGACCTTTGACAGGAAGTAGTGTAGACTGGAAGGACATGAGTTCTGAAATGCGCTTGAAAATTACAGACCTAATTATAAACGGGCAAATGTTACTGAAATGTAACACAACGCACGATGTTATTTCAGACACAGCACTCGATACACTGAGCTCCGCTTGGCCGCCAAACTCTGTTACGGCGGTAAAGCTACTGAATATCTCAAGGCCATAGATCATGTCCCACCGAACCTACTGTAACAGATAAGATCTAAAAGTTTGTGCCAATGGTATATTGGTACATGTATCATGTTTTGGGACATTATTCATCGTCTTGTCTATTTTCTAAAAGCCGTCCTGTTTATTTTTGCAAACACAACGTTTCGGAGACTGGATTCTGTTACCGTCCTCAGGTAAAACCTACTCAGTTGGGTCCAATAGATAGAGCTGTCCCCTATCTCCAACTGAGTAGGTTTTACCTGAGGACGGTAACAGAATCCAGTCTCCGAAACGTTGTTTTCAAAAAGAAACAAGACGGTTTTTAAAAAATAGACAAGACGATGGATAATGTCCCAAAACATAATACTTGTAGCTACTGCAACAGGGTAGTTTATGGACACAGAATTCAACGGCAGCTGTAGGGTTTCTGGGATAATACCACGCGCAAGAAATGTGGGCAGGAGATGGAATCCTCCCACTGAATATTTTGTCAGTGCCTAGCTTTGGCTGGGAAGAGAATGAAGATCGTCTCTGTGTGATTAAGAACCGACAGGTCTAAAAGGTTGGCATACTTGCACTGAGGGCCAGAGCTCTTTTGAAGATGTCGCGAGAGTGAGGTCACACAATGGACCTAGTAGTCATCTGAGAGCCTGGTGCGACCAGTTATCCACTCAACGTTGATATGTAGTATTTAATGTCCAAGGTACTACATCAGAATCTACCTGGAGGGACTAAGTAAAACCCTGAAGAACAGATTTACAAAGATTTTATAGACGGTCTTCAGGTTGTACGAGTGCAGATATGCTGTTGCAAATCCCATTAACTGTACTGAAACAACATTGCTAGAATCACAATTACTATAAACTGATTAAAAATAAACAGCTTTAACTGCAAATCTGCATAGGCAGGCTGCAACTAAAATTGGACTGGCTCTCTTGTTGCAGCTTTGAACGAACCGACAATAGACTACGGGTTTCAGCGGCTCCAGAAACTCATACCACGTCATCCAGGGGATCCGGAAAAGCTTCCCAAGGTAATTCGTTCGGCTCTTCCATACCTCATTAGAACTGTATTTATAAAAATATTAAAAAAATAGAACTTAAAATAGTAAATAATTCGGTTTCTTTTTTGACTGCTTGACAACAGCAAGTAGCCTTCAAAAAGCGAGGATTATAAGTGTGTACAAAACTTAAAGCCACACTTAAAATTAGACCAAGATGATGATGATGATGATGATGATAATAATAATAATAATAATAATAATAATAAATATTACTATTATTATGTAGATGATAAGGGAGAGTAGTAAGAAATAAAGATAATAATATGTGTACAGAGAAAAGAATAATCTGGTATGTGCAAAAAGTCTACGTGAAGCCGGTCAGCACGCTGATGCCCACAGTACACCTCGTTAAGCATTCTTGTAGCTTGATGTTCTAATGCCTGAAATGAGAATCGGAATATGGTAAACTTCATATTCACTTACCACCGTTTCGCATTACAGGCTCACACTATTTTATCTAAGATAGAACGAAATAAATAATACATCTTTTGGAGGGTAATGAAAGAAATTCTGAAGTTTAACGAAATAAAAAGCCCCCGAATTAAGTTACGATTCCAGATACTGAGACAGTATCAATCACCGCACTGAAATTATCTGGTATAAAATTATGAATACAGTATACAAAATCACAGCACAAAATTAATTCGCATAGGAGGCCACCGGCCGGTCACGGTAGCCGAGCGGTCTAAGGCATGTACTGTCTTCGCTCGCTTGGAAACCGGGATCGTGTGTTCGAACCCCACTCAGGGCATGGATGTTTAGTTTGTATGTGTGCGTTTTTCTGTGTTTATGTACAGGCAGAGGCCTTGCGATGAGCTGATCACCCGCCCAAGGAGTCCTACCGAATGTGTAAGATCTAGCAAAACCGAAGTGAACGGAGAAGTTCATGGAGGTAGGCCTAGGCCCACTGGGGCTGTAGTGCCAAGGAAAAAAAAAGTAGGCAACCGTGCCGGTCACGGTAGTCGAGCGGTCTAAGGCATGTACTGTCTTCACTCGCTCGGAAGCCGGGTTCGTGGGTTCGAATCCCACTCAGGGCATAGATGTTTGTGTGCGTTTTTCTGTGTTTGGGTACAGGTAGAGGCCTTGCGACTACTAGATCTAGTAAAACCGAAGTGAACGGAGAGTTTCATGGAGGTAGGCCTAGGCCCAAATGAGGGCTGCGGCGCCAATGAAAAAAAAAGTAGGCCACCGTAATTTGTAAGTGAACATTACAGTGCTTCTAATTGGCACCGGATCTACTTGTCTTTCGGATGAGAAATTTTAGAGATTGTATAAATTATCTTCTTGCTCTCCTGTCATTAAATCTTATGTACTCTAATAGCCGGTGAAAACTGATGAATATGCAGAACACAATATCCACTCTGCTAATTGCTATGCTTCATTACAGAGGATTAATAATAACAATACGATGGAGGGACTCTCCCTTTACTGCGAGCCTTATGACTATCAGTCTGCGAATTACTTCTCACAAAGCAGGTTAGAACAGCGGTAACATTTCTAGCCCTGGCTCGAGATGTACCGGCCGTACTGCCTAACACTGTTAGTCATTTCCATTTGTTTCTTGTTGCTGGTACACGGAATATTGCCTTAAAATATTACCGTTACATTCTTTACGTGCTTCCTATTATAAACAGCAGTCTTCATATGACATGTTCCATCCAACACTACATAACCCCAACACTTTGTGAAACTTCGTAAAATTGCAGAATAAACCAAAAATGTACATTCCATTAGACTTGCCGATTTCTGTGGGAAACTGAAGGAGATGGTAAAGATAAATACCTCCTTACTCCTCCTAGCCAAATATATTCGACTTAGGTGATGTGCTAGATATTCAGAAATATTAACAGTGTGTATAAGACCTCTACTCCATTCCGTAGAATTTTTGTCAGTTTTTTATTTTTGGTTTATTTAGAGACGTCAGTAACCGACTCTGTGGTCTAGTGTTCAGAGTTCCTGGCTACAGATCCAGAGGTCCCGGATTCGATTCCGGGCCCTTCCAGGTTTTCTGAGAAGTAGTGGGCCTGGAACGGGGTCCACTCACCTTCGTGAGGATAACTGAGGAGCTATTTCAAGGAAACAGCGGCTCCAGTCTAGAAAACTGAGGTTAACGGCCGTAGGGATCCGTTGCGCTGACCACGCGACACCCAGCCTCTAACAGAAATGAGTATCGGAGCATAAAGCTAACAGCCTCAATACCATCTGTGGGCCGATTGTCTAGAAACTGTGAGAGCCTCGATGTCTCACAACCCTCTGGGTCTCCACGACCTGTTACATGGCGTCATATTCCACACGATAGAACTCATCGTAACCATCGATGTGAGAAGCTCAAATCCCACAAAATTTATCTCAACTGAGATTTCCGTGCTCCTGCTTTAGCATCTTGAAACTGACCACAACAGCTTTGTCCTTAAACCTTTCAGATTCATTGAATTCCACTGATCGTCCTCTCGTGCTTCTCTAAAGGGCCGTGACAAGGGCTCAGTCGTTATATGAATGCTATATTGGAGATTGTCCATTGTCCAGGCCATATTTAGTAAACGTTATACTCAGAAAATTGGATCAATTTCCATCGTCATATTAACGGCAAATTATAGCAAGTGTCACGTAACTTCGAACAAGGCCAAGAGTAACCTTGAATGCGCAGAAGAAAATTTTCAGACAAGGGGTTGGAGGGTGTGAGACGTGACAGGCGGCCAGTGGAAGAACGAGTGTTAAGAAACTCCTCCCACCACAAGCTATGCGGGGCCTTGTTCGAAGTTACGTGACACTGTCTATAGTAACAGCTGCAGTTGATACTAACGGCCTAGTAGCGGACAAGGCAAGCTGAAAGTAGCTAATCCCAAAGCCCTCCATTTTATATGATCCTGAGTTACTTCCATTTAAATTCCGTCCTCACAACTTATCTCCCTAAGATTCATCTGAAAGTTGTCTTTCCAGGTATGTTCGACATAATACCAAATTTTTATACATTATTTCTTTAAGTGAAAATATTGAATTATCTGTATATTATTATGTGTAACCCAGATAAATAATCTGATCTACTTCCGCTTCTATTGATTAATAGGCTATTATCGTCAGATTAGAATGGACAGCAATATTATCAATATTTAGCTATTGATTAGCGATATTAAGACACTTGAATACTTGGATCCTGGATTAGAATAGACTGGGAAAAGGGTGTCTAAACTGAACGGGATTTTTCCTTCCGTTCCGTGCTGGTAGAAGCCACGCGGTGGTATGACCTTTTACTCTGAAAGTTTAACCTCTTGTCCTAAATCATGGATCTCCGTTCCTTTCTAGAAACTTTCGAATCAGAATAACTAATTATTTCGACATTTTATAAATTGTTTTCATTTCTTATACAGAATAATTAAATATAATCATTATTCTGTTTACCATAACGCAGTTCAATGTTCTGTTTTTCTGCTTTTCAACGAAATAAAGCTCACCATTTCTTCGTCTTGTACGAGGAAATCAAGGCAATTGATACGCCGTCTGCTTAGATGCATATAATTTTAAAATAAATTAAAAATTTAATGTTAATTTTCAAACCGTGCTGTAGCGCCAAGAAATTTCTGGAACTAATTTGACTTTACGTCTCTTTATTTATAATAAGCCTAAATTATTAAACAACTTATCGTAAATATGCCCTGCACGATAAAATGGACAAGGACTGCATCCTCGTTCAACACTCCATAATTCACGAATTTTTCAGCCCTTATATAGTTGCGTATATTAACTAGAATTCAGGGACAGATGTGTTTTGCCACATTTATTGGAAAATACATCAATTCGTATATAAATTGTTACTAAATTATATGCTATGTTTCGTACAGGAAATCATCCTGAAGCGAGCGGCAGACCTGGCGGAAGCTCTGTATAGCATGCCACGCAATAATCAGTTGGCACTATCAGCCCCACGCTCCCCTACAATGACCAACAATGGGATGCCTTCGGGATTCAACACGTACACGGGCCAGCTCGCAGTCAGCGTCCAGGAGAACGGAAACGGTCAGTGGACTGAAGGTGCATATCCTTCCACCTATATGACACTCACTATACTAAGTAGTCCAGGATATTGTTTTTCAGGAAAAAAATTGTTTTCAAAACTTTTATGAGTAGATTAAGCTTTCAATATTCCATCTTCATATACCATAAAACTATGATGTTAACTAAGCTGTTCCATAGGGTAACCGCCGGCTTACCACCGCGGCCACTCGGGTTCGATCCCAGGTCAGATTATGTGGGATTTGTGGTGAATAAAGTGGCACTGGATCGTGTAGCCTCGTAGTACTTCGGTTTATTCGGCCAGTTCTGCTCAATATTCATCAATAATTCCATCATGGCTGCTGCATTGTCCCGAGACTAAGAGCGTCTTTCCATGACAAACTGAAGAACATAAAATTTCCCTGTTATTTTTATGGTCGTGAACTCAATTTCTCACATTGAATAAAGAACGTAGATTCATGTTGTTAGAGAAGGACGTGTCCAAGAATATATCTGGATTGAGAGGGATGCGGAGCTTCCTGCTTCGTACTCATCTTCAAAAATTATTAAGGTGAGAAAATCAAGGGCGATGAGGCTATCGGGATGTTATATGAATGATAGATACGTATTTTGGCATAAATACCTAAAGCGAGGGCTTAACAGACACAGATATAAATAGAATATTATTAAACTGGATCTCAAATCTGTCTCAAGAAACGGTCCTTGATTAATTCTTATTAACTCGGGGAAGGACCTACAAGTTCCATAAGGGGCGATTAATACGATTCTCTGAGAGAGTTTTAGCTTCTAAAGATGGACTCCACTTTTTATTTACTTAGTTCAATAATTCAAAATGCTATCCTTCTTGAATAATTCCAGAGCTTCAGCTGAAGTACTCATGGTCTCAACTATTACTTTGAACTCTAGGTGTAAGGATAAGACTACTGCTTTTCACCCAAATAACTAATACTAACCAACAAACAAAGAAACCAACTAAGCAATCAAGCAACCAGCCAAGAAAAAGAGATAGTTCAGGAGCAGAAAAACTATGGTCCATGAAGGACTCAATCCTGCCCATGGTGCTACTCGAATACTATTTATAACGCGACATATAACCATTTTGCTTTCACGTACATAGTGAAGATAAAGGACTTAATGGAAATCATATACTTCGTACGGAAATACAGGTTTCGTACATTCTTGGTACATGTATTTGCCGTGAATGAAACTGATTAGCAGCCAATATATTGGAGCCTTCCCTGAAATTCTGTTTAATTCGTGAGAAAACATATCAGGTATAGGATTTCGTGTCGAAAATTAAGCTTTACGTTTGATGGCTGTTAGTTGACAAATAACTTCGGGTAGGTGTGTGAAATTTTATATTATAATAGTCATTAACTTCCCAACATTGTCTGTGTTAAAATTAATCTAGTTTGCTAGCGGTGTCAGAGTTATGGAGACGTTGAAAGTTTCTAAGGTTATATCAGGATAATTTAGCGCAATCAGAATTGTACTTGTCAAAATTATACAAAGAAACTGATCACTAATTTACGTAATCATTAGTCTGCAGTCATTTGTGGCTGCACCAAATAAGAGATGATAGTAAAGCGTTCGGAGAAGAGCACTAGCTTCTGGAATCGAACATTCTGTACTCTTTTTTTTTTTCCTTGGCACTACAGCCCCAGTGGGCCTAGGCCTACCTCCATGAACTCCGTTCATTTCGGTTTACTAGATCTTACACATACGGTAGGACTCCTTGGGCGAGTGATCAGCTCGTCGCAAGGCCTCTACCTGTAGACAAACACAGAAAAACGCACACAAACATCCATGCCCTGAGTGGGATTCGAACCCACGATCCCGGCTTCCGAGCGAGCGAAGACAGTGCATGCCTTAGACCGTTCGGCTACCGTGACCGGCCATTCTGTACTCTGGTACATGTTTATTGGCGTTTCAGAGGAAAGCATTTCATCTGTCTTCAGGGCGAAGAATAAGCCAAGCAACCAACCAGCAAGAAGCAAGAAGCAAGCCCTGTTTTTCACTGATAGAATATTTGTACTACAGGAGTATGACGAAGCACAGTATTGCTAATGTAACGCCTGTCCCTGTTCCCTTGTTATCAGTAACTTGCTCCTGTTTGCTGTATCGGTTGGAGTTTATTTCTGCAGGAGTATGACTGCGCTGCCAATGTAATGCCTGTCCCCGCTCCCCTGTTGTCAGTAACTTGCTCCTGTTTGCTGTATTGGTTGCAGTTTCATTCTACAGGAGTATGACTGCACATAATGTTGCCAGTATAACGCCTGTCCCCGCTCCCATGTTATCGGTAGCTTGCTTCTATTCCTGAATTGGTCGGAGTTTCTTTCTACAGGAGAATAATCTAGCACAGTGTTGCCAATGTAACGAAATACCATACTCCCCTGTTCTCAGTAATTTCCTCCTATTTGTATTATTGTTAAAGTTTCCCTTCTAGAGTGCATGACCGCGTACAGTATTGCCAACTTAACGCCGCTCCCTCTTCTCATTCCCACTCCTATATTAGTAACTTACTCCTGTTTGTCTTACTGGTAGGGTTTTTCTTCTAGAGGAGTACGGCCGAACACAGAGTAGTAGCGTCTCTCCACGTGGGGGCGGCTACGGCTCCAGCGCTTCGACGCCTCACTCTTCTAATGGTGGCGGTTCATATGTGACGGGGGCGTCCACTGGCGTCACAATGAATGGTAGCTACAGCACCGCAACCCCGGGTACAGGTACGGGCAGCGGAGCAGCAACGGGCGGAACGGGCTCACAGCTCACCAATATGGGTGTTCCCGGCTCACCCGCCACGTCGGGACTCTTCAATTCTTCACGTAAGACTCACAATTGTATCTCTACATTGTTTTTGTTGTTTCCTGTGCACTCCGTACAGAACTAAGTTACGACGCAGTAGGTATGTAGCCTGCATGACGGTAAAACATGTGTGCAGAATTTTGGTGGGGAATTTCTTGAAAATGTGTCAAGGAAACCCGTTAATATTATATTACTAAAATTAATCTCAGATAGGGAATTTATCTGAGAATGGGAACCCGAACTATTTCAGGAAGATGCTCATTTGAGATTTTGTTAGCAGCTATAGGTCTCTAGGATTCTTGACATAATGACGATAAGCCAACTGAAGAGATTTCACAGTGTACAATGAGAAATATGAGAGTGACTATGGACGTAAAATTCCAAAAGATTACAGGCCGAAAATGTCATGTTATAAAGGAATTTTCCAGGCAGCTGCTTAGATGAACTGAGGAAGATCATTAAATATATCAATAGTGACATTATTCACCCTGAAATTCGAAACTATTACCTCCCAAATGAAAAATTATACTTTAGTGATTATCACAAATTGGTTGCGAAGCTGAAGTTTTCAAGGTCATCATTTCACTGGATTAAGCACCGTCTCTTCAAACTATAATGTACTAAAACATATTTATATTTACTGTATTTCTTACAATTTTTACTTAAATATTTAGTTAGAATTATTAATGGATTCGTGGTTCTTTTTGTTTTAGTTATGTGTATGGATACTTATGAATTAGGAAGCCAGCATCAATTTGATTCTCCTGAGCATTACTTCACAATGAAACGTTCATTTGCTCCTGCGATGGGCTCTACCTCACGAACCCCCATGCCCGTTCACCCCACAAACAGACACCACATGGCTGTTCAATGTTAGTATCTCTCTCTTTCATTCTGAGATTATCTGCCATTTCTGAATGGTCGGTAATTATTATTAAATGACAACATTTCAGACGTTACAGAGCCTGATAACAGTGGCCTGCATCCCATACAAACAATGTAAACAAAACCACATGTCACTTTCCTAAACAAAAAGAAACCGCAACACTTTTTTGGATGGGAGATCGGCTCAACAGAAGGATTTTTATCATAAGAAAACACCGACTGGACGAAAGTAATACTCGTATATAAATTCTGAAGGAAAAACTGAATCCAAATACTCAACCAGTCTTCTTATAAACGTATGATTGGTTAGGACAGCGGCATCTGTAGACTGCAGGAAGACATGAGAAAATAATGCAGAATTTAATTTGGAAAACCCGAAAGGAAGACACCATTCTCTAGACCTAGACTTATATGGATCTTAAGAAAATAATATATGAGAGTTTGGATTGTGTTCAACTGATTCAGGATAGGGCCAATTGGCGTGGTATTGTGAAAAGTAGCGGAACTTCCTGTTTCATAAAAATCTGGGAGACTGTGAGCTTCTAGGGGATGACTCTGATTTTTGGAGCTATTCTTAGACAATTTTACATGGTGTACGTTTACCTTTATTTCAGTATACAAGGGATATTCGGAAAGTAATCTCCGGTGAGCTGTTAACAAAACGAGCGACGAGAAAGTAATGTTGTTATATACAGAAAATACGTACATACTTAAGCTACTTCTCATCGTAGTCACCGCCGGAACTGAGGCACTTGTCGTGTCGGGGAATAAGTTTCTGTATGCGTATGTCAAAGAAGTCTGCCACCTGTGAGCTCAGCCGCGTTTTGACGCCTTCCATCAACGCCTCACTATTATTGAAGCGCTGTGATCCTAACCATTTCTTCAGGTAGGTAAACAGGTGGTGGTCGCTCGGAGCGAGATCAGGGCTGTAAGGAGGGTGGTCAGACAATTCCTAGCTGAAATGCTCCAACAGTGCTCGAGTGAGAGCATCTGTATGCTGACACGCTTCATAGAAGAACACTACACCGGATGTCAGCATTCCACGCCTTTAGTTCTGAATGCCTCTAGGCAGCTTTTTTAGTGCTTCACTGTACTCTTGTGCCCTCGGTCATTAAGGGGTATGATTTTATTTTACGAGGGAGCGAAGTTGTGCCAAATTCATTAGAAATTCATTACAAGTCTTGTAAAATTAGGTAAACCACCAGATAGCTGGCCGGAAACGGGAGGTCAGCGTCGCGGCTGACGTCTTTCTTATCCGCGATCGACATGCTATCTCCTTTAGGTCCAGTTTCTTTCCTTCCAAATAACAAAATAGCCATTATTCACACAGTTCAGATGGGTATAGATGGAAACACACAACCTGGGACACTTGTGACTGATACAAAAATAACGTTAAGCTCATCTAAATTAGTATATACGCAGGCCTCTAGGTTGTGGATATGTAGGTATGTTATGCCCAAATTGAGGGTGTCGGGTTCCACAACACGTAATTCCCCAACCAGATTTATTTTCTTCTGGGTGTAATAAGATTGCTTTATCCACGATAAACACAATTCAATACACTAATATCATCCTTTAGGAACTATAACGACATTCATTAGAGAAATTGATAAAAATATAAATACGAGTTGTACCTGTAAGTAATAATTCTAAAAATGTGTATTTGCTGCTTGTTACTTACTCTGTGACTTAAAAAATCGTTTACGGAGGTACGATTTTACATTCGGACTAAACACGTGACATTTTGAGCAAACTCGTTAAAAAAAATAATCTCAATCGTCGCAAATAGGCCAGTACGTGTTAAAAAGAGAGCTAACATATGTATTCTTTTGTTTGTTTTGCAGGGGTTGGAAGTTTGGTGTCATCCCCCTTCGCAACAATGAACCCTTTCGCCCTACCAACGTGCAATTCCCAATCGTATGGATCGAGTCCTTTACTTAGTTCTGGCAAGTAACACGAGGAGGCATTATATTCATAGATGTAAATATACTGCAACAATTTTACAATAAGGATAATTATCAGTGTGAGCGAAAGAAAGTAGTTCTCAGAAGAAAAACAATTATCAGCATCATCAAGGGCCTATCCTCCCGAATCAACGCGAAACAGATATAACGAACCGCAGCACGAAGATCATTTGCGAAGTGCAACTGCTACTGAGTTAAGAAAAGTGACGTAATGTAAATTGATAATCGTGCTTCATGTGCGGGTGTGTGTATGTTTGAATGTGAGTGACTTTACTTTGGGCCGATTACAAACACTACGAAAAATATTACCATCTCCAAACCTAATCACAAATTGTACCTTTTCATCTACATTCATAAAATGGACAAGAAGCCCACAATTGTTTACAATGGCATGCATATCCCCGAGTGATGGACACGAAACGATTCACATATACATTATACATTTCAATTATGTTAATAAAGCTTCACTTTAATTAATTTCTAAAGTAAAGGCCACTAAATCTAATAATCTCGTGATGAAGACTCTAGACACTCCAATAAATATGAGATACTAGTATTAACCTGATTGTATCATCGATTATTTTAAAATGGCCTATACATGGATATCGAATCCCAAGTCATACATATCGCTCCCTTGTGGGAGAAGTCAGACGTTTTAATGTTAACATATAAATGCTACTTCTCATGAGGTAATTTCAGACTATACTTCCTTATATACAGACATGCATATATCATGATAGTTTTGTACAATTTGTGAATAACTAACCAAGTAAACAACAACCTAAATGGCGAATGAACTTGATGTACAGAGAGAGCGAATGAAGTATTCCAGAGAGCGAACTGTGAGAATATTACTTTTTTTAGTGTCTCGATATTAAACCCATATAAATATAAAATCATTCTTTTCTCTAATGTATTGTCTTGTATCATAATTTGCAGGAGAGAATGTAAAAAGATATTCGACCTCCGTGTACATACATGACTAATAGATATATATATTTGTTTAGAACGTACCTATATATTTCTCATGGAATTGGAGTGATGGTGTGTTTGAGAACGTAAGGTGTATATTACATTATGAAAGCATTTTCTCCCAGCGCTCTCTGAACTTCGGGCCGGAGTGACGTCATACAATACATTAACATGTATACGATCTTACGATATTCTTTCTGATATCACAATTTTACATCAGCCAGATATACCAACTATTCAAGTAGTGTCATTTTTTCTGTGCAGTAAGGAGATTATGGACTTTTTAGTCCTTTTATACGAAACAGATTCTATGAAATCTGATTTCTCGAGCACAGACAATTTAAACTGTTTTTGATCACTTGGATATACATCGAATATTCATCAATAATTTATTCTTCTATTCTGTTGTAAGAAAACTATAATATCGTTGTCTTAAAATAAAACTTTAGCATTTTATTTTCGAAACGAAGTTTCGTTCTGAGTATGTAAAATGGCGCTTCTATAGAAGAAGAAAATAATTAATTTTCATTATGAATTGCATAAATTTGGCAAACCACATTTATAACACTTAGCTCTCAGTTCCTCTTTCTACACGATATGTGAAGTAGCTGGTTTTCTTCTTTGTTGTTTATTCTTTCCACAGCAATAATTTATGTAGAAATTCTTACATTCAGTTGTTATAATTATGCTATCGATCTCTTGTGTAATTTATTGTTTCGGTATAGTGACAATTTATAATTCTGTTTGTTAAGAATTTAAGCTAAGTGTTTTCTTAAAAGTTTATTAAAATATCGATGTACATTATTAAAAAAAAACATTTAATGATATTTTCCTTTACTGTTTTACATTTGTTTCCTCATAAGACCTGGACAACAAGTTCTACAACCCTCTTGTCTCTGAGATATCATGCCTTGACTAATGTTCTAAGTATGAAAGTTCGTCTGTGTCCTACACTGTGGCCCTACCTTCGGAATGCCTAACGTTGCATAGAGAAAAAGTATTTATCTTCTAGGAAATAACGTCGTGTAGTCTGTTGAAAGTCAACCATGTTCTGGACTTCCAACGGACTACTTACCTACCACTGGGTCATACAGAACTGTACACGGCGTACTGTCACGTATAGGGCTTAAGGTGACTAATAATTGTGGGTTTTAGACTTGATGATTAGATTTATTGGACGTCTCTTTTTCAATTGCACTTGCTTACAAGAGTTCACAAATTGAACTCCTTCTTTACGACGTCTGTCTTGCAAATCTCTCCCTTTTGTCTCGTTCTCGAACTGATCTCTAGTCTCTCGAATTCTCTCTCTCTCTGGATGTCTGAATCTCGGGCTGAACTAACTTCATGCGTACTGAATACATATCACCAAGTAGAACAGTTGATTGATCTCTGTTATCTTCCGTTGCCATGAAAACGTGTGACAATGTCTGGGCAACGTCTTGACCTATACCAGCGTATTCGTTGCCGCGGAAACGTGTCTTAATTAGCAGTTGTAATGGTAACTTAGTCTTCACTTCGTCGTTGCTCATCAACGGACATCTCGTTCTGGCTCCACTATTCCGGCTTTCAGGCATCATGTCACAGTGCTCTTCATAACCACCACTGTTAGAAACTCAAACCCTATGCATTTGTTTCCAATTTTTCTCTCAACAATACTTCGATCCTGATATGTTATATTTATTCCAAAAACAAATATTATATAAGCCTAATAACAGAATTACTCAACAAAAGGAACACAACGGCATAGATGCATATTTATTCTATAAAAATAAAGTAGTACCTATTTACTGTCTACGTTAATTACGCCTATTTATACTGAGGATAATGTTTTCAAGGTGGTAACATTCGAGTTTGATGTAATGCAGTTATTAAGTATGTAGATGGGTACAAAAGTGAAATGTATATAGAAATTATGGTTGCTACAGCACTGGTTAAGAAGAGTTCCACCTTCTGGGATACATCGAACATGTATTGATTTGAAGGTTCCCCGAAACATCGGTTGACTTTCAACGGACTACATGGCGTTATATCCCAGAATATTGAACAATCCAATAGTGAAATGTCCTCTTAAATTTTATCCTAGACCTAAAACGCCAAGTATGATGGGGGGCGAATAAAGGATTTGGGAGATAGAACATTCACATATGAGGATGAATATGACTTTCCCATTCACGCTTCGTGCTGAACGAACAGAACTAAGTGTCCTCATCGAAGTGGGTCCTATACTACCACAGTCAATAATTTTGTGGACTGGCCGCAAAGCGTCGTTGCCGTGCATTACAGCGGATAGGTTGAGGCACGATATGATGCCCTGTTAGTTCATCTCTCGTCACAGCAAGAGGTAGTTGTGTGCCAACAGTTTAAGCAGAACTACGGCCTCTGTTGTGAACTGCAGTTACATGCGAAATTGAAAATGTGGCAGTTTGAAGAACGGGCAAACATCAAGTTCTGCCAAAAACTAGGCAAATCCCCTAGCGAAAATTTGGCGTGGGAAGAATTGGCAGTTGCTACACGACAACGCCCCTGCACATCGCTCTGTTCTTGCCCAAGAGGAACTGGCAAGGCAACAGGCCACCGTTTTGCCACACCCTCCGTACTCACCTGATCTCGCACCATGCGATTTCTTTCTTTCTCACTGAAAGCAAAGCTATGTGATCGTAGATTTCAGTCGTCCGAGGAGGTGGCATAGCCATAAGAGACGCCGTACGGGATTTTCCCGCCAGTATGTTTCAGCAATGTTTTCGGCAGTTATATCAACGTTGGCAGACTTGCATAGCGGCCAACGGCAACTATTTTGAGGGTCGATGTGGATCTGTGTAAGTGTATGTGAATACCTTGTAATATGATGGGATGAAACCACAGTCCACAAACTTAATGACTGTACCACGTATAATGGCAAGTCAGACCATATAAATGTGATTCTATAACCTTGTGGAGGTAAGTTATATGAAAGTTATTGGGAATTAACCCAGTACGAATATCAGTTCAATATTTCCGAATGCAATGCATGACCGTTGTAGCGCCTTTGTGCCTCAGAAACTGTATGTCAGAAGAATGATGAATGTTTTTGCATCATTCATGTGTCTAGAAATTCATGCGCAGGTAAGTGTTATGTGCTGTATCACCCATACAAGATAAGAGTCTTCCTGAATTCCACCCTGTATCAGACGTATGATGGGATGAGTAGATGTTATTTTATGAGGTTGTTATAATGTGAAATAGTCACATTATAAATAATTTTCTAACAGTCAATATTAACTTCTTTTCTAAGTTCTTACTTTAATATTTCTTGTGCACAGTCTGTTAATATTAAACAAGAAGTTCTGGGAAACAGTAATCGCCTACTTTCCTTAATACGACACGGACCGCATAGTAAATGATGAGTCCAACAATTCTGCTACTGTTTCGTGTATATTCGTTTCCGCGGTAATATTTTCACCGAGTCCTTTCATAGAAGCTATAGGACGATTTTTACCTAGCCGTTGCCTAGCAACGATTGGCAGATAAACATATAGACACGCAGACTGATGGCAACAATCTATGAACTACGTCGGTGAGATGGACTCAAGTGTCATGGTATACGAAGGAGGGTAAGCAAATAGGTCACAAATTAATATAAAATGTAAAACATATGATATTCGAAACGTCAAAACCAGCAGCAGTATTTTGACTGTTGTCTCAGACACTTCCGCATATCCGTTTTAACCTCTCAATCATTAGTGAAACTTTTGCCACTAAGGCGGCTTTTTGGCAGCCCAAAAAGAAGTAAGTCACTACAGGCTAAATCCGAGGGGTAAGGTGGATGTCCAAGAAGTGCCCAGTGTAGTTCTTAGGCTGTGTCCACATTAGCGAGCCGAGGTTCGAGCCAAGCTTCGAACCGAGTTCATTCGCGAGCACATGTTATAATTTTCCATGCGGCTCGCAGTTTGTTCGCCAACTATGGACGTGTTTAATGCTCACGACTGGGCTCGGCTCGAAGCTCGGCTCGCTAATGTGGACACAGCCTTAAATTCTCTCCTGGGTTGCTCGGGCTGTATCGGGTCTGGCATTGCCATGATGAAGCAGTACCCCTCTTGAGAGTTGGCCTGGATGTTTTCTGCGAATTGCATACGAAAGCTTCAACAAAACTTCACAGTATGATGGAGAATCCATATATCCACCAGGCTTCTTAAAATGGGCTAACAGTACTCCCTGAGAATCCCAAAACATGGTAAGCATTACCTTCCCAGATGATGGCGTAACCTTAAACTTTTTGGTTGAAAGTGAACTGGGATGTTTCCATTACACTGAAATACGCTTTGAATCGGGTTGATAGTGATGTACCCATGATTAAACCCCAGTAATAATTCTATTAAATATCTTCTCCATCTGCATACCGTAAGAGCAGTTGCAAGGACAGATCAATTTAGTTCATTTTTTAATCGATTCTCCAGTTCTTTGGGCACCAGCAGTGCGCACGCTTTCCAAAACTTAAAACGATCATTCATTATGCACGCTAAACCATGGGCACACCCTCGTGCATTTGCTACACTGCCTATCGTTATTCTCCTGTCAGCTAGAATCAACTCTTCCACCCGCTGTACAGTTACTTCTGCCGCAATCTCGTCGGGGATAATCTGCCACTTTCGAATTCTTGAGAGAATTTCTCGACCCAATTGTGCAACAATTTACGCGACAAACACTTCCCACCGTAAACAGGAAACATTTATTTATGAATATCTTATGCATTGAGTCCTTTTGCCCACAGGACTCTGCTCTACAGTATTAAATCCAGAAGCACGGCCACCAGTTTGACTATTGAAACCAGCCCCTGATTATGCGCATGCGCGTCTGCTACCTAGACAGTTTTTAAGCTAGAGTGTGCTGCTACCTAGTGTTACACATAGAAAACTTATCACGTCAATTACTGCTGTTTTACTTCCATTTGTGACCTATTTACAGACTCTCCCTCATACATACCAACTATCATAGAGACTGGTTCAGGCAGTGAAACGTTAATAGGGAGAGGGAAATTCACAGACACGCAGAGAGCATGGAGATCGCATAAGCCTAGTTTAGGAAAGTAAGCTAAAAATGGAACAAGATTAAGTTACAGTTTATTCTCTACATAATATTGTTGTATAGAAAGTATATATATTAAAATGATATAATAACGACAGCAATTTAGGCATGGCTGTTATAATCATAGTCAATGATCTGGGGAAGTTTGTTCAATGCTTCCGCCTCAGTTGCCTAATTGTTCCTTCAGCGGTCGTAAGTGACATCGCTTTGTAGTTCCTCTGTACTTCATAATTCATTATGAAAATAAGCATGGTGTCAAGTTAACAAATTCTGAACTTTAAATTTCTGTCAACGCATATTTGTGTCTTTAGTTAACAGAAAATATTTCGTGTCTATGTATACGCAGCAGGTCTCCATTTCACGCTCTGCCTTCAGCATCTTTACTGTTTGGATTCTGGATTTATTTTTTTCCAGGTTTCATTATAAAGAGAGATGATTTGGGCGGGTTAGGTTTCACAGATTCCTAAGCTTATGTTTCTCTGAACTTTCTATATTTTATGCAAATTACATCTGAATTATTATGTTTTTTCACAGCACGTATGCACTGCAATTATAACAGGACAATGAAGATCAAAGGTGCATGAATGGATTTACATAAGAAAATACTCTCGTGACCCTTTAAATTTGAAAATAATTTAAATATTATCTCTGGCTACCTGAAAACTTGACATAGCCCGTCCTTTTGTCATCCATTATATCATAGTGTCTGCGTCGCTACCACA